TTGCACACACACACATAGTAATGGGGAAGACTCTGGCATGAATTAACTTGATCTCGGTCACCAGCGACACATACTTACAGAGAAGAATCTTTTCTAGCTCCTCCTCGTCTGCCTTCCCAGCCTCAGTCTCCTTCTGATTTCTTGTTTGCACTCTCCGTTTTAGCGGATGATAAAACCAAGGAACAGAAAATATTGAGCAAGTTCTTCATCATTAACCCTAAATTTGTGTAATTCCACACTCGTCATTACTTTTGTTTTCCTCATGTTCCGGTGTAATCCCGCTTTGTATTTTCTGCCAGGAACGCGTATCTCAAATGGGTACTGTTCCTTCTGCCAATTTTCACTTCTCCTTCATCTAATCCAGTTTTACTTATATGTTCTGCTTATAGATTGAAGAGACAGGGCAATAAAATACATCATAGTCTGACACCTTTGCCAATTTGGAAACCATTCTGTTTCTCCATCTTCTGTCCTAACAGTGGGCTCTTGTCCAAAGTACAGGTTGCTCATCAAAGCCATTAGGTGTTGTGGCACATTCATTTCTTTTAAAACCAGCTATGATGAACCCCTGTATCTTCCTAACTGTCTGGCAGATTTTTCCCGCCAAATCTTCAGTTCCCCTCAGAGCCTGAGTTGCCCTACTGTAGCGTGTATATATTCTTTGTCATAAAAGGCTTGACTGTCCCAACTTATGTTTAGATATTTAGTTTAGGCTTTTTCTCAGCTCAAGAACTCTACTGAAAATACAAGAGTTGTCCAGTTTTGTAAACCCTTGAGAAATGGCACTTGAGGCAAATTAACTTTCAAAACAGGGTAAAGATTTTATTAAACAGGCAGGGAATGTGTGTATAAATGGAATAGTCAAGGTTTTGAGATTGTTGAGGTAAAAACTTTCTAATATTGAATTCATAGAACATTCAAGAGAAAGTATTTTTGGTTTTGTTTCAAGGCTTTCTATTTCTTTCTTTCTTTGAGAGGTACTTTGCTTAGCCTGTTTCAGCACAACACAGTTCTTACTGATGTTTCTAGATTTCTTCCTTTAGATATTACAGGTTTTCCTTTAGATAATACAACTTTTCATTAACTCCTGAGGTGTCTATGCTACTCTCCTTTGTCACAGACCAGGGGTCTCTTCCCAACCCCTTTCACTGGCAGGAAGTTATTCTTCTTGTCCCTATGAAGCAATAACTCCTATTACTATTTGGCTTGTCTGGGAGTTCTCTCTAACTTCCCAGGCCTTCTGCCCAAATCTTTCTCTAGTATCCTTGTCTTTATAAGGATGTTCTGTGGATTTCTAACTGAGAAGTTTTAAGTTCTCCCTCAGAACAGTGTTATTTAGACAATGGGGACCAAATATATGCCCAGATTGTCAATATTACGCGGTGTCGGCCCACAGCAGACCAAACATGGGTGCAAAGGTATCCAATAAAGATAGGAGTCTCTCAGGCTTATGTACAAATAATATACAGTTTATTATACAAGCCTCTCACCAAATCTTTACACAGAGTGACGTAATGCTCCGCTGCGCTCGCATTCCAAGAAGGAATAGAACAGTACAGTACGTCACTGAATATATACAACCACTGGCCAATCACAGCCAGTGCTGAGTCACTGTGACTCAGTGCTAATTAGGTCTAGCAGTAGCCAGCTAGAACCAGTCAGAGCCAGCTCTTATTACACTTAGAGCTGTCAGCTCCTGTCAGTTAGATGCCTATGATCTACAGCATGACTTAACATATACAGAATACTGACACAGATGCCCTGACTTTGGTGTATCATGTAGCCAGCTGGAGTATTTGCAGCCTGTATTTCCTGGGTACAATGAGCTGTTTCCTTGTCTCCCAGACTACATTGCATTTTCTTCTCATGGACACTCTATAAAGTCTTTCATCTTGGACTTTAAATAGGCAAGGGCTTTCCACAGTGACACCTTGTGTTGTAGCCTCTGCTTTTTGCCATAGCTCTTTTAAGCTCCGATCATGCTTCTGCTCTGCTAGAAATTCTGCAGCCAGCACTCCTTGTAACACTGTTACTGAATCGCTAGTTCTAGGCTCGTCTAGATTAGTCTGCTGTTCTGCTGACTGATCTGCCAGTAATGCCTGTGGATTTGAAGCCAAAGGCCTACTTCTGGTAACAACATTTACATTTACTTCTTTTCAGTTTTTAATTGTGAGGCCAAATCATTTGCAAATAAAATGGGCATATCTAGTTCCTTCCAAACTCCCATTATCCATTTCCTGTGGAAGTTTTTATATTTAATTGGAACCGCTGCCAGTGCTACTTTGAATTCTGGGCCACTAAAGCCCTTAATCGTAAAGGTCCTTCCAGGTAAATACTGATTTTTCTGTACTAACTGGGACCTTATTAAGGTGACCTCCGCACCCGTGTCTCTCCAGCCGACAATTTCTTCTTCATTAACCCCTACAGTTTCCAGATAATCCCTGTTAATATTCTCCTGCACTTTCCAGACTTGTAGGACCCTAGCTGGCCTGTCTGTGTTCCTTCTGCTGATTCAGGGGTTGATGGGATTTCTGTCCTGTTTACAATTTTAACAGTTTTGGCTGAAGTTTGGGTTCTTTCTTTGTCCAGTTTCAGATAATGTGCTCTTATTTAACCCTCTCTCTGGCAGTTGTAACATACTATTGTTCCCCTTCTGGTTTGTGTGGGACTGGCCCGCCTTGCAGGGTTGGTTTTAGATGGCACGGTTTTCTTTGAGGAGCCTCAAACTTTATTTTTCTTGATAGGGGGTGGAAATACTGATCCTCTTAGATCACCTTCAGTATCATCCAACAAAGTGGCTGCTTCATCCCCTGTTTTTCGCTTTTTGTCCCTCAAATCATCTAAACTGTGTGGGAACCTTTCTGTAGAACTGCTCGAAGCCTATTAGCTGCTTCAGTTCTTGAAATGTGGTCATTTTGCTCCCCTCAACCCACCTGTTTAAGGCTCTGTCTAGGTGACAACCCAGTTGTGAATAAATTTCACCTGGCTTTCTTTTAATCTCTCTGAAAGCCTCCCTGCTTTGTTCAGCAGTCAAACCAAAGCAAACTCTGACACGGTCTTTAAATAATAAATAATTTGAGGTCTCTTCAGCTTTCATTTCTGAGTAAATTTCACTCAGTCCTCCACATATCTGTGGACGCAGATGAAGCCTTCTGGCTTTATCTGGAACTTTATAGTCTTTACAAGTTTTCTTAGCTTTATGAAGGGGTGCCATTTCTGACTGGAATTTGTTTTTAATTCCTCACCAATGTTCTAGAGATTATTTTATACTAGTAGGTTTTTGTGGTGGGACCAACTACTTGTGGGTTGTTGCTTCATATCATGGCACTGCCACCAGATATGACGAACCTCTGTATCTCCCCAACTGTCTGGCACATTTTTCCCGCCAAATCTTCAGTTCAGAGCAGTGTTAATATATTTAGACAATTGGGATTTTCTTCTTCTTTCTGTAGAAGTACTTTTCTGACGATTGCCTGTCAGAAACCACTGACTCTCAGGTGTCTCTTCCCTCAGAAACCACCCACTGGTTACTGATCCAGGTATCAGTAAGACCAAACAGAGAAAGACCTAAAGGCAAAAGACCAAATGCAAAAGACAACTTTTCCCTCCAGATCAGCTGTTTTATTTTGCCAATCCGAGAGTGAGCAGAGCAGCCGATTACCTAAGCTCTACTCTGCAGGGAAGATTAACTGCTAACCTCCCTGACTCTCTGTACCAAGCAGCATTTGGCTAAGAAGCCTGTTAGTTTGCTCTGTCCCTCTCACCAGACATAGCATTTCATGA